TAAAGTCTAGAGAATGTTTAACTGCATAGCTATTTTTTTATACATTTATTAATTCAATTATCTTTTTAAATGAATCCGTACAATAAGAATTTAAATTATAAATAATTATATAATCCAAAATTACAATACAGTTTTTTGTATTGTAATATAACAATACGTTATAGTATTAATTTAATGACTCTGCATAATGAGGGTGAACTATGAAATATTCAAAATATCTAAAAAATACTTAATGGAAATATTCTTTAAGTAGTTAATGTACTAATGAAATCAAATTGATTAAATCAATTGATAATATCAATATTTATTAAATTCTAACTGAAAAGAGATTTAATAAGTACTGATAGTGAATAAAAAAAAAGAAATAAAGAAGTAAAACAACCAAGAGATAAATAAAAAAAGAGTAATTTATTATTCATATTTTAATTAATTAATAAAAAAAAATAGAGTGAATTTAGAAAAATAGAATAGAGTAAAAGTATTAAGGAATGGAAAGAAGATGAGAAAGGCAATAAAGAAGAGAGGAGAAGTGATAAAAAAGAAGATATAACAAGGTAAAAAAAAAAATAAGAAAATCAAAGAAAAAAAAAATATGTTTTTCAGTAAAAATTTAAAGTAACTGTATTTTTAAACAAATAACCAATTTTATTAATTATCAGTGTAATATAATAAAAAATATAAATTTTTTAAATAAAACTTAAATTAATATTTATTTATTGAAAAGAAAATGCAAAGTTCTTTTATTTCAGACTATTCTACTAAGCAAACATATGATGACTATATGAAAGTAATTAAACAATTACTTTCTAGTAATGCAAAAGATATATATGAACATTGGGGAATTATATGGGCATCATTAAGAATGTTATTAGAAATGACACCAGGGACATTAGGGAATAGTAAAATAAAAATTAGTTTGTTATTGTTATTATTATTTTATTAATAAAAAAAAACAAAACAAAGGAATAAATAATTTAAACTAATTCATAATAAGGTAATAATAATGATGATGTTATTAAAAGTAAATATTTAAAACAAATTCATATCATTGATTTATCAGAACAATCACAAATTAACTTTCAATTTTCTTTAAATAAAGAAACAATATTTCAATATAAAGACTTCATGAAAATATCTCAAAATCAAAGTTTTACTATTAATCGATTTAATGTCTTTTCTAAAGCTCTTAAAAGTGAAATTGGACAATTAATACAAACTCATTCTCCTATTACTTATACTTTTGTTCTTAATTATGAAAAAAACTCGGCAACAGTTCTTCATTTAATTTATCTTCCAATTCTTCGTATTTCAAATCAATCACCTTCTCCTTTTTATTTAGTTTGTATTACTATTCAATTGCCTATTCCTCATAAAGAAGTAATTGAAGAATCAGTTTCTTTACAACCTTCAGAAACATCTCAATATCAGAATTCTTCATTTAATAATTTGTCTTTAGCAACAGACTATGAAACAATTTTATCTGATATTTCAAGTTCTTCTCCAATAGAAACACAAATCATTAATGAAGAAGAAAAAATTAAAACACCAGAAGAATTAGATAATGAAAATAGAAAAAAAGTTTATGAAAGACAACAATTCTGTTTACAAACAATGCAAAAATTTGAAAATATTAAAGGATTATCAATTTATAAACAATTATTAGAATTATTAACTGACTCAATTAATATGATGATTTTTAATGCTACATTAATAATTTTTAGAAATATTTCAATTCAAAATTATAAACCAGAAAATGCTAAAAAATTATCAATTGATTATATTAATGATATGATTAGAAACATTTCTGAAAGTTTTGATGTTGCAGTAAATTGTATTTATAAACCTATTGAACCTATTTATGACCCTGACCAACAAATCATAAATATCACAAAAAAACCACTCTTTAGAAAAGAAAAGAAAAATGAATATCCTTTTTCTTCTCAATTTATTTCAATGGTTTTAACTGCTCATTTAGAAACTTATTTTACTATTGTTTTAGCTCAATCAGATAAAACAAAAAATTTCTTTCATTCATTATTTTATTCATTAAATCCTCCTCAATTTACAACAACTTCAAATAATCCATTTACTTGTTTCCCTTTCTTTGTACCAAGAAGAAATTGGTTTGTTAAAGCAATCTTTTTAACTGAATTAGAACAACGTTCTCTTTATGATATTCCATTACCTTATTGTGTTATTAATTGTCAAACTATGCAAGTAGCAATATCAAAAAGTTCTTCAATGTTTGAACATTTTTGTTATCGTGCAACAGCACAAATATCAATTGCGGCTAAAGCACTTCAATGTCAATTTCCAATTTCTGCAATTCCTCCTGATAGAAGTTTAAGATTATTACAAAGAAGTCCAACAACTGAAAATATTTCAACAAGACTTTTATATTATTATTATTCAAATCAACTCTCTCTTAGTTTTATTGAAATATGTAAATTCCTTGAATATTATCAACAAAAAGCTCGAATTGTTCTTTCAATTATCAAAACTGAAGGAATAAATATGACAGTTCTTACTGAATTAGAAGAACTTTTTCAATGTAATTCAGCTGATGAAATGATGTTAATTTTAAGTTTCTTAAAAAGTGATTATCCTATAACAGCACAGTTTTATGCTTTAATAGAGAAGAAAGTAAGAATTGATTATTAAATTTTATTAAATGTATTTCAATTGTATTTTTATTTTATGAAAAAAATATTAATCTTTCATTTTTAATTTAAATATTTATTACTTTTTTTTAAATTCAATTATTAATTATGTTATTGTTCTTTTTTTATATAATTGATTTACTGTTTTATTAAATGCTTCTTTAAATTTTGGAATTATTGATTGAATATATTCTGGTGTTTGACATACTGAAATTCTATAAAACCCTTTACACCCAAATCCACTTCCTGGAACTGTTACTATTCCATTTTCTGCAAAAGTTTTACAAAACTCCCATTCATCTAAAGAAGCTTCAACTTTTGGAAAGATAAAAAATGTACCTTCTGGACGAATGTATTGAATTTTTAAATCATCTAAACATTGACACATTAATTGTCTTGATTTGTTATACAAATTTATATCAACTGTTGCATATTTAATTAATGGAATAATCCTCATTTGAAGTTTATTTGTATGAACAAAGCCAAGTATTTCATTTGTTGTTGCTAAGGCATTAACAATTTGGTTATGATTTGGTATGTTTGGATTAACTGCAAGACACCCAATTCTTTCTCCAGGAATAGAAACATCTTTAGAAAGAGAGTATGCAATAGCAGAATATTTATAATGAAATATTGAATGAATATGAATATTTGGTTCTACTACTCTACAATAAACAGCATCATTTAATACCCAAATTGGTCTATTAATTTTTATTGAATATTCTCTAATTATGTTTAATATACAATCAATACTTTCTTGAGTATAAGATATTCCAGTTGGATTATTAGGAGAATTAAATATTACACAACGAGTCTTATTACTTAATTTTTGTTCTAATAATTGTTTGTTAATTTGCCATTTATCTTCAAACCTTGTTGGAACTTCAATGGCAATTCCTCCATAATTTTGAATATAAAAAATATATTCTACAAAATAAGGTGAAAAAATTATAACTTCATCTCCTGGGTCTAATATTGTTTTTAGAAATACATTACATGCACCAGCACATCCAGATGTCATAATAATATCTTCTGATGTAACTTGAACTTCCTCAAATTGATCTATAATACATGCAATAGCTTCCCTTGCTTCAAAATCTCCATTAGTAGAAGAATATCCATGACATAATGGCTCTTCTGTTGACGCAATAGTTTTGAGTGCATTGATATATGCATTAGGTGGTGGAAGTTGAGGATTACCTAATGTTAAATCAATTACTTTCTCATTACCTTTTTGAGCTTTTAATGAATGAGCCAAATTAGACATTCTCCTAATCATTGTTCCACCTAAACACTCTTGTTCAATATACTTAGAAAACATAAATATTCTTTTATTAACATTCACTTAATTTATATAGTTCATTTCATTAATCAATTCACTTTCCAAAATACTTTTCACTTTCTTCATCAATTTTTTATTATTATTATTTATGTTTTATATAGCATTAATTCACTGTTTAATTTAAGAAATAAGATATGCATACGTCATGATGACACAATGTTTTAGAGTTATTGAATTAAAAAAAACTATATTTAAAAACTAATTAAAATAACTGATTAACCCAAGTTACTTTTCATAGTGTTTGTAATACCTACCACCATACCCCTTTGGTCTAGCCCTATTTCTAAGATCATTTTTAGAACTACCCCTTTCTCTTTCTTCTTTTGGTTGTTCCTTTTTTTCCTCTGATTTAGCAACTTCTTTCTTTTCTTCTGATTTAGTGTTTTCTTTCTTTCCTCTTTCTCTTCTATTTCTGTTGTTTCTATTAACGTATCCTGGTCTTCTATTAAATCTTCTCTTTGGTCTATTCTTAAATATTTCTAATTGTTCTTCAGTAAGTGGTGCCATATATCCTGGGACATTAGTATCTTTTGGAGGGACTAATGAAAAAGTAATTTCAACACAGCTCATAAGTCTTGGGATAGAAATTTCTTTCTTATCTTGGTCACAGACAAATTTATCTTGAGAACTGAATAATTCACTCTTAACAATAACATGGCATGGTAATACTCTTTGAATTATTTGGGTTGCTCTTAATGCAGTATTTGCTCCTCTTCCAAGTCCTCTAATAGTAACTGATGGCTTGTTTTTAGTTTCAAGACTATCTCTTATAATAAATATAATTCTTGAGATATAGGAATTAGCTCCAATATGGATTTTTTCATCTTGTGGAGAATCTACTTTAGGTCTTTGTTGTCGTGTAAATGTTTTAACTTCAACTTTCTTCTCTTCAGACATCTTTAATTAATATATGTAGATTTATTTCTCAGTTCTAAATGATAATAGGTTTTTATGTTTTAGATTTTTTTTTAATTAGAGAAAAAAAATGTAAAATGTTATACATCACAAAAATTCAATCGAAATAGTTAATCCTTCACATATCTTTGTAGAATGGATTAGTTTCATTTCTTTGTTGTGGACCTTTAGTTTTCTTCTTTTTGTTATATGCATTTTGAACTTTTTCTTCTTGGAAAGGAGTAACAATGTCTGCTTCGGGTTTTTCTATTACCATTGTTTTTTGTTTACTATCATCACTTTCTTCATCATCTTGGTCATTATATAAATATCCAACATCCCAAAATTTGATGTGTCTACTATGAGAAGATGATGCTAATATATTTTTGTCTCTTGACAAAGCTAAACGTTCAATTGGAAAATCATGTTGACCAACACAACCTAGTAATTTGTGTGGATTTATTTGAACTACACGAATAATACCATCAGAACTACCAGTAATAATAGTATTTTTATTGACTGCAATAATACTCTCAATACTCTCTGGATGTCCTTTAAGAGCATTTTTTGGATATTCCCAATTATCCCATTCCCATACAAATAATTTTCCACTTTGACCACCACATACAAGTGTGTCATCTTTTTTTGTTATAGAAAGAGATAATAAATCTTCATTCATATTATCACTTATTCCAATAACTTTTTTTGAATTAATATTCCATGTTGACATACATCCATCACCTCCTGCAGCAAAAATAGTATTATCACAAATGGTTAATTGAGAAATATAATCATGATGTTCATTGAAAACAACAACACATTTTTGTTGTCTCATATCCCATACTTTAATTCTGCCACTTTCATCACCTGTAACAAAAATATTTCCTTTTACATCTAATGAATAGATACCATGTTTATGGGCTTTATCATTCTTTGCAAGAATTTTTTGATTATTTAAATCTGTAATAGTAATTGAACCATCAGCAGAAGTAGAAAACAAAAGATTTCCATTGTCATTAAAACAAACATCTCTTGTTGAATCTTCATGAGCTTTAAGAGTAAATATTTCATTTGGTTCTTGAATATTACCATAGTTATATAATCTAATAAGACCATGCATATCTCCGACAGCAACAACATCATTAGTTGGACTAAATTTAATATCTAACACACGAGAAGGACAAACAATATCATCAGGAATGATAATTTCCTCCTTTAATTCAATGGTCATAAGAAATGAAATAAAAAAATCTCAAAAGAGTTTCAACCCTAAATCCAATCTTATCAATTTTTCAAAAATCAAAAAAAATCTTAAAAATAATATTTTAAGGTTTTTTGTTTTTAAAAGTATTAATTTGGATTATGTGATCATTTCATCCCTTTACACAAAGAAAGCTGGTGTTATTCTTGGTGGAATTGGTTTTTCTGATTCAGGAACAGCATCAAAAATAGTAAAGTCTTGTTTCAAATCAGTTCCTACTCTCATAATACAAGCAATATTACCACATCTACCACAATAATTTGGTGCAGACCATACAGTAACCAATTTATTATCAAAATGATATTTGTAACCTTCTTGTACCACTTGATGAGCACGAGCAATTAAATCAATATTATTAACTTGAACAAATTCATTAACTGGTTTTGCACCAAAAACATATCCAGCACCTCTTGTTGATGGGACCATTCCTTCAACACTTTCATCTGGGTCTGACCACATTAAATCACAAAATGCACCTTCATGTGGAATTTCTTGATTTCTTTTTACAATAACTCTAATATGATCTATACTTCTTATTTCAGGTGAAAGACCACCATGAACACAAAAAATTTTACCATCAATAAGAGCAGCAATATTTAAATAATCAAATACTTCCATACACCATCTATACGAATTGGCAGTTCCATATTTTTTAATACATTCTTCATAAAAACCATAAACTTGAGTGACTTGTCTACTTTCGTGATTACCTCTCATTAAGGAGATTCTAGTTGGATACATTACTTTATATAACATTAATAAAGTAAATACTTCAATTGAATAACTTCCTCTATCAACATAATCACCTAAAAAAATATATGAATTTTCTGGTAATGAACCTCCAATAGAAAATAATTTCATTAAGTCAAAGAATTGTCCATGAATATCACCACAAACAACAACAGGAGATTGAATTGGTTGTACATTAGACTCTTCAATTAGAATAGATTTAACAGCATTACATAGTCTTTTAAAATCATTTTCAGGAAGAATATTACCTCCTTTAACAACTTCTAAACACTTCTGGTAGTCCATCTCGTAATGATTTTTTAGTTTTTCTTTTTGGAAAGTTAAAGATGGTTACTCGAATCAATAGGGAAGTTTCCTGATTTTTTAGTAATGAGTAAATCATAAAAGAAAAAGCAAGAAAGGGTAATTAATAATAAAAACGAAGTTTTCAAAAATAAGAGAAAAAAAATATTGTCTTTTCATTAAAATGAAGATTTTTATTTCTAAGAAAAAAGAAAAGTAATAAAAAGAAATCTATTTAATAGAGTGATACAAAGAATGGATACATCAGATTGATAAAATTTGAGGATTATTTTTATGAATCCAATATTGTAATGTACTTGGAGATAAATCACTATAAATTCCTGGATAAGTAACTTGAAGATATTTTGTTGCTTTAGATAATCCTAATATCTTAGCTTTTTCAACTGCAAGTTTCTTTTGTTCAGTTGACCAATATTTTTTGGTTTTACGTTCTTTGATAACAGTTGTAATTGGTTTTGCTGATTTTTCTTTAACAACTTCTAAAGGAGGAGGAGAACTTAAGATAACAGTTGGTTCATTAATTTTAGAATCAATAATTTTATAACTTCTAATATCGCTTGGTTTAAAGACAGAGAGATAGTTTGAAGAGTACATAAGTTTAATAATAAAATTTGAATATAAAAAGTTCTTTTATATTCACAGGGTTATATTAACTGGAAGTAAAATAGTGACCAAAAATGGTATCCAAAGAAAAAATCAGAATTCGATTTTCTTCTTTCTTTGTTTTCTTCTTTTATTTTTCAAAAGAAATTCAAGTAATTTGTTCAATAGAATTTTTTAATCTAATATAAACTTTTTCAAAGTACCTTTAATTAATATAACTTTTCTTTTTCTCTCTATTATTTTTTAAACTCCCTTCAAAGACCTTTTGCTTCTTTTTTATAGGAATATATTTATCCCCTAACATAGAATGTTGTCCTACTGACAAGACACTTTTGGTTTGGATTAAAGTTATTACTAAAATGAAACAATTTGAATATGACGGTAAATTAAATACACTCTTTTTCTTTATAATAATTATGAAAACTTCAGTGAAATTCAGCAACTTTTCTTTGTTTTGAAAAAATTTCTTATATAAAATTTCTTAAAATAATTATACTTGTCTAGATAAGATAGATTTTTATCTATACTCTGTAAAATAGTTTTATTCTTAATTATTTGTAATAATAAAATACCTTTGTTTATTTAAAATGATATCTATTTACCAAATAGTCTATTTAACCTCTAATACTGCAATTAATTTACTCTTAAGTTATTAAAATCTTGTTTTTATTCAATATGTCATGAATTTCTTATCAAAAAATACAAACAAAATTTACTAATACAAGTTAGTTGATTCTTTTATAAAATGTTTACTTGTTATTCACTGGTATCTAAACAATTTCTAGACTTTGTAAACCTACTCAATTATTATTGAAAAAAAAATGTATTTCATAACCTATTTTTAGTTTATTACCTCTTTTTTAATTTATTATTGAAGTATTACAACCTTATCAAAAAAAAAAATAATTAAATAATAAAGTTTAGTTATAAAATGATAATAAATGAAAGGAAGTCACTTAGAATATATCTATTTAGTAGGTTCTTCTTTTTGTGCAAAAGTTGAAGCAACAATAAGTGGTAAAAGAATAGTGGCATCTCCAATAACCTTAGCTGGATTACATTCTGGTTTAAAGAAACCTTTTGTTCTATCTGCAGCAATTTCTGAACCAGCATCTGATGCATCACACTCAATACTTGTTGATAACATAGCACAATAATCACAACCCCCTCTTCTTTTCATTGCATTTAATATATGATGTTTAGCAATACCAGCACCAACTAAAAGACATCCAACTTTTTCAGCATTAAAAGCCATTTCATCTATTTTTATGACATCTTGAACAAGATCTAAAACAAGTCCTTCATTTTTATAACTAAAGAAGAAGATCATATCACCAATACTTCCATCAGTAATCGCTGGAGAAAATACTGGAATATTATTTTTTGCAGCCCAATAATAAATTGAACTTTCATTATTAATAGATTCTCCCATTTTATGAACCAATTTTGATGGTGTCCAATGAACTCCATGTTCATTTTGTTCCTTAAGACATTCTAAGAGTAAGGGATCCATCCAATCTTCAAATTCACAATAATTAGAATTTGGTAAAATTAAGTTTCCTATTCTGTTATATCCATTTGGATATAATTCTTTGCCTTTAAAATAGAAATCACCAAGAAGTGTTGGGTGCATTGTTTTAATAAAGTCTTCTTCAATTCCACCTGCAGTAACTACAATAGCATCAACAAATTTATTCTTTACTAAATAATGAATAACTTCTCTTAACCCGCTTGAAACTATATTTGAAGACATCCCAAGGAATATCTTTGCATGGTTCTTTCTCATTTCATTGACTTGTTCTATACATAGCCCAAGATTTAAAGCCTGAAATCCTGTATATTTCATTTTTTCCATTACTTTATTAAAGTCAACTCCATTATCAAAATCATATCCAATACATTTCTCTCCTTTATATTCTTTTGATTCACCAAGAACTTTTGAAGTTACCTTAGCGAATTCTTCACCAGTGATGGACATTTTCTTTTCAAAAAGTTGTTACTAAGATTTAGGGTTTAAATAGATGATGTTATATGATAAGATTTTTGATATTATTTGAAAAGAAAGTAAGAAAAGGGTTTAGTTTAAGAATAAAAAACAAGAACATTCATGTTTACCTCTTTTGATATTTTTTGGAATTAAACGATAATAAATTAAAATACTAAGAGGTATAAGTTATACTGTCTTGTTGGTTAAATCTTTTTGGTATTTTAAAAGACACCCCGTGGAGGAACAAACATAAAAACACAAGAACTGAAGATAGGAATTGAAGGGATGTTAAGTTTTGAATAAAAAGAAAAGAATAACATAGTTTTACAAATTGTCTAAAAACATGAAGTGTGTTCATCCATATTTTTCCACGGGTATGTTTCATTAGTATTTGGTTAGTTATTTGAGTCATTGCTGAAGACAAACAATTGAATATACAGAGATAATAGTGACTAATTATCAAATCATTTTGAAGAAGTAATGAAAGGATCAAGAATATTATAACAGAAAAAGCAGATGGATAAAATAATTTAGCATAATAGTCATCTATTGTAAAGTATTTTGATTGAAGAACCATTGTCATTGCATCAAAGGTAATATATAACATTAATAATATAAATGAGGTTATACTGGCATTACTTACAATCACAAATACAAAGATGGTGGATAATGTAATTACTCCAATGACTAAATCATTTTGTTTGAGTGGAATTCTAAATAATGGGCGAAGAAGAATTATTGGAATGAATTTCATAGACTGCCCAAGGGTCTGCATTGGAAAAGAGAGAATAGACTGGAATAAATATAGTGATGTTAAACTAATAACAATACATATCCCTATCACTAGATATAATTTAATTGATGAATAAGAAGGTATTGTACGGTTAAATGGGGAGGATATTATTAAATGAGTTAATTTAACAAAGAATAAATGTTCAAAAATGTGTTGTGAGTCAACAATACCAACAATGGTTAATATAGTAGAACTTGATACGGCAAAAAAGATAAATAGTCCTGAAATAAGTAATAAAACTGGTTTAGAGAATTTTTCAGTATTAAATGAATAAGACATTATTACTTTAGCTTTGTTGTAATGTTCTCTCACTGAATAAATCATATAATCAAAATAGTCTTCTTTAAATGGTTTATTCTTTGTTTGTTCTTCATCTTCCATGTCATGAGGATTCCCATCTAATTCTCGAAAAATATTCTCTTCATATGAGTTATTAATAATAGGGTCAGTGATATCTTGTAAGTCAATCTTTTGAGTCATTAATAATGAGGAGAAAAATCAACTATTTTTTGAAGTTCTCAAATGTCAAATTTATCAAAAAAGATACAAAAATATCTCATAAAATAGTCAATCAAAAATATTATCTTTTCTTGTAAAGACAAGGTGAAAGATGTACTTTCTTCTTTAGTTTTTCCATTTGATTTTGGTTTAACACATAATTGTTTGCATTTTTACGAAAAACTAACATCACAAAAACATTGTTTTCATCTTCTTTGATCGTGACAAATCCAAGTTGTTCAATTCCATTGATAAACCCTTTAATTGATTTTAGTCGACTAATTGGTTCTGCAATGATCATTAGTCCATTAGGCTTTAATATGCGAAACCCTTCTTTTAAGAATAAATGGAAGTCTGTTCCCATTAATGATAAACAAAATACAACTGCATCACTCCATCCTTTTTGAATGGGTACTTTTGTGATATTTGCTACTTTGACTCGTTCATTTGCTTTGTATAGATCAAATGATTCTACTGTTCTGTCTTGGCATTCAAGTGATAGTCGTGCTTCTCCACATCCCATATCAACAATATGTTGAAGTTCTTTATTCTTTTTAATATATTCAATAATTGCATCTAATGGATTGACAGGCCAATGCTCAACTTGTTTAGCATACCCTTGATGGTATTCTTCAAATAATTCTGGCTTTTCTTCAAATAAGTGTTTTGCTTGGTCACCACGTGATGTATAGAGTAGTTCATTGATATATCTAAACTTTGATCCTTCAAGATCATTTGCAAACGACTCTATCAATGTCCCTTGTTTCTTTCCTCCACTTTTCTTTGGTTTTCTTTCTTCTTTTGCTTTTAGTATTCCACTTTGCTTTCCTCCTGCCAATACCTTCTTCTTTCTCTTCCCTTCCATTTGTTTTTTCTGTTTCTTTTTTATTTTTCCTTTTCTTCTTAAACTTAAAAACAATGGTATTTATCTAAACCTCCTTCTTTCTTTAACACCATAACACATTATCATATCTTTTCACTCTTCTAATTACCATTACACCTTGTCATATCCATTTTGTTTTGAATGTATTTATGAACAAAAACAACAGCTAATTGAATATGTATCAACTATCATTCATCCCAAACAACCATTATGCATGAATAAAGTAAAACACATTCATTTATTAACACAACACAAGTAAATCATTCAATAATTATATGAATATTAAGAGTTGAAAGTATCACAAACGTTCTGTAGAGGGATAGTATTATTACATTGAATAAACAATAAATAATGACATAAAACACTCACAAAATAAGAAGTTATAATTACATGAATAAGAAGAAAATGAAGAAGAAGAAAAGTAGAGTAATGAAAAAGAAACATAAAAAGAAGTTATAAATGATGAGAAGACATGTCATTTGAAAGAGAAAAGTGGTTAAGAATAATCACCGAAAAGAAAAACGAAATATAACAAGAATAAAGGAAAGTAATTAAAAGGGTAATAAAACAAGAAAGAAATGAAGAAAGAGAATAAAATGAAAGAACAAAAACGAAAAGATCAAGAGTAAGAAAGATAAAAGTAAAAAGGAGTAGAAGAAAGAAATTTAGGAGATTAATAATACTTAACAACACCATCAACTTGAAAAAAGCAAATAATGTTTAATCCATTTAAGTTCGAAATCGAAGAAGCAAAAGAACAAGGGATTAGAAATTATACTCTTCCACCTGAAATTAAAATTAATGGTGATGAAAATAGAGTATGTAAGACA